GGTCTGGGGACCTTGGCAGGGTCTGGGGGTACAGCCATGAGGAGGAGCAGAGGGATTTTGGGGAGGATTAGTGGGATTTGGGGGGGATTAATGGGATTTGGGGCGCTCGGGTCGGGGGGGTTGGGGGGGGCCTCTGGGGGCTTTGGGGGGGTCTGGGGACCTTGGCAGGGTCTGGGGGTACAGCCATGAGGAGGAGCAGAGGGATTTTGGGGAGGATTAGTGGGATTTGGGGGGGATTAATGGGATTTGGGGCGCTCAGCGCGGCCTAGGAGTCTCAGCGTTGTTTTGGGGGGCTCAGCGAGCTCGCAGCGATTTGAGGGCGACCAGAGCGGCTGCGGGGCAGCCTGGGGGGTCCCAGCTGCCCCCCTCATCCCCCCGTTTCCCCTCTCCAGGAGAAGTTCACCCCCGTGAAGTACTTCTCCATAGACCGCGTGTTCCGCAACGAGAGCCTGGACGCCACGCACCTGGCCGAGTTCCACCAGGTCGAGGGGCTGGTGGCCGACCGGGGGCTCACCCTGGGCCACCTCATGGGCACCCTCCGCCAGTTCTTCACCAAGCTGGGTACGCGGGGGGCACTGGGGGGGCACCCCGGACCCCTCTGAGCCCCCCCGAGTGACCCCCCACCCGCGTGTGCCCCCAGGGATCTCGCAGCTGCGGTTCAAACCCGCCTACAACCCGTACACCGAGCCCAGCATGGAGGTGTTCAGCTTCCACGAGGGTGAGGGGGGTCCTGGGGGGCTCCTTTTGGAGCAGGGGGGTCCTGGGGGGCTCCTTTTGGAGCAGGGTGGTTCCTCTTAGAGCTGGGGGTCTGGGGATGCGTTCCCCTGGAGGGGGGGAGCACTCTGGGGTTCCAATATGGGGAGGGGGTCTGTGGGGTGCCCCAGCTCATCCTCGCCCCCCCCCCAGGGCTGAAGAAGTGGGTGGAGGTGGGGAACTCGGGGGTCTTCCGCCCCGAGCTGCTGCTGCCCATGGGGCTCCCCGAGAACGTCTCCGTCATCGCCTGGGGGCTCTCGCTGGAGCGGTGAGTGGGGGTCGCGGGGTGGGGGGACCCCGCTGTGGGCCCATCCCAGCCCCCCCACCCACTGACCCCCCCCCAATCCCGCCTCCCCCAGACCCACCATGATCAAATACGGCATCAACAACATCCGCGAGCTCGTGGGGCACCGCGTCAACCTGCAGATGGTCTACGACAGCCCCATGTGCCGCCTGGACGTGTGACCCCCACCCCGCGGGGGTCCCCTCCTTTTTGGGGAGGGGTCCCGTGTCCCCGGGGGTCCCCGTCCCCAATAAAGCCTGGTGTCCTGCGGTGCGTGTGTGTGTGTGCTGGGGAAGGGAAGTGGGGTTTAGGGAGAGTTTATTGTCACCTCGTGGCGTCGCACGGCGCTGGGGAAGCAGAGACCGGCCCGGGACCCCCGAGAACCTCCCGGGACCCCCGAGAGCCGCCCGGGACCCCCGGGACCCCCAGGCCCTTCCTGCCTTTCCCGCCGCTGTCTTTTCGTGCCCGACCATTGGCCCGCGCAGGTGCCAATCATCCCCTGGGCTCCTAAATGGCTCCAATCAGCAGCGCCGAGGTGCGAATGGCGGGCGCTGATTGGGCGGCGGTGGTGCCCGCCCCGCGGAGCCCCGTGAGGGCGGCGTGGTGAGGGGCGGCCGAGGGTCCCAGGTACGGCCCCGAATCGTGTCCCGAACCAGCCCCTGACACCGGCCCGAGCCGGACTTAGAGCCCCCAGCCCATCCCCGGTACCGGCCCGAGCCGGGCTTAGTGCCCCGATCCCGCTCCCGGTACCCGGCCTGACCCTGGGATCCTGGCCCGAGCCGGACTCGGTGCCCCGATCCCGCCCCCGGTACCGGCCCGAGCCGGACTTGGTGCCCCGATCCCGCCCCCGGTACCGGCCCCAGCTCGGGGCCCTTCCCCTGCAGCCCCCCGGGGCCGGGATGTCGCGGGAGGAGCCTGAGGGTCCCGAACCGGAGGCGGCGGCGGGACAGAGCCCCTTCCCGGCGGAACCGGGTGAGGACGAGCCCCTCGGTGAGGAGCAGGACAGGTACCGCTTCACCCGCGATCTGCAGTGAAAACGGCGAAAAAAGGAAAAAAGAGCCGGGGGGGGATGCAACGATCCCACCCGCGGCAGTGCGGGGAGGGGGGACACACGTGTCACAGCGTTAATTAGAGGGTAATTGTCAATTAACGGGGCTGGCGGGGCTGTCACTGCGCACAGCCCGTCCCTGTCCCGGGGGTGTGTGACCCTGACAGGGTGCGCAGCCCCTGGGGGACAGGGGGATAGGGGGGGTCCCTGTCCTTGTGTGATGGGGACATTCCCGTGGTGGGGCAGGGATGTCCCTCACTGTGTCCCCATGAGCTCCGTGCCCCTCACATGGTCCCTGTCCCTGTGTGACCCCGGTCTTGATGGGGGTCCCTGTCCTTGTGTGATGGGGACATTCCTGTGATGGGAATGCCCCTCACCCTGTCCCCATGGGGTCCCTGCCCCTCGAAGGGGGGTCTGTCCCTGTGTGACCCCGGCCCTGATGGGGACATTCCTGTGATGGGAATGCCCCTCACCCTGTCCCCATGGGGTCCCTGCCCCTCGAAGGGGGGTCTGTCCCTGTGTGACCCCGGCCCTGATGGGGACATTCCTGTGATGGGAATGCCCCTCACCCTGTCCCCATGGGGTCCCTGCCCCTCGAAGGGGGGTCTGTCCCTGTGTGACCCCGGCCCTGATGGGGACATTCCTGTGATGGGAATGCCCCTCACCCTGTCCCCATGGGGTCCCTGCCCCTCGAAGGGGGGTCTGTCCCTGTGTGACCCCGGCCCTGATGGGGACATTCCTGTGATGGGAATGCCCCTCACCCTGTCCCCATGGGGTCCCTGCCCCTCGAAGGGGGGTCTGTCCCTGTGTGACCCCGGCCCTGATGGGGACATTCCTGTGATGGGAATGCCCCTCACCCTGTCCCCATGGGGTCCCTGCCCCTCGAAGGGGGGTCTGTCCCTGTGTGACCCCGGCCCTGATGGGGACATTCCTGTGATGGGAATGCCCCTCACCCTGTCCCCATGGGGTCCCTGCCCCTCGAAGGGGGGTCTGTCCCTGTGTGACCCCGGCCCTGATGGGGACATTCCTGTGATGGGAATGCCCCTCACCCTGTCCCCATGGGGTCCCTGCCCCTCGAAGGGGGGTCTGTCCCTGTGTGACCCCGGCCCTGATGGGGACATTCCTGTGATGGGAATGCCCCTCACCCTGTCCCCATGGGGTCCCTGCCCCTCGAAGGGGGGTCTGTCCCTGTGTGACCCCGGCCCTGATGGGGACATTCCTGTGATGGGAATGCCCCTCACCCTGTCCCCATGGGGTCCCTGCCCCTCGAAGGGGGGTCTGTCCCTGTGTGACCCCGGCCCTGATGGGGACATTCCTGTGATGGGAATGCCCCTCACCCTGTCCCCATGGGGTCCCTGCCCCTCGAAGGGGGGTCTGTCCCTGTGTGACCCCGGCCCTGATGGGGACATTCCTGTGATGGGAATGCCCCTCACCCTGTCCCCATGGGGTCCCTGCCCCTCGAAGGGGGGTCTGTCCCTGTGTGACCCCGGCCCTGATGGGGACATTCCTGTGATGGGAATGCCCCTCACCCTGTCCCCATGGGGTCCCTGCCCCTCGAAGGGGGGTCTGTCCCTGTGTGACCCCGGCCCTGATGGGGACATTCCTGTGATGGGAATGCCCCTCACCCTGTCCCCATGGGGTCCCTGCCCCTCGAAGGGGGGTCTGTCCCTGTGTGACCCCGGCCCTGATGGGGACATTCCTGTGATGGGAATGCCCCTCACCCTGTCCCCATGGGGTCCCTGCCCCTCGAAGGGGGGTCTGTCCCTGTGTGACCCCGGCCCTGATGGGGACATTCCTGTGATGGGAATGCCCCTCACCCTGTCCCCATGGGGTCCCTGCCCCTCGAAGGGGGGTCTGTCCCTGTGTGACCCCGGCCCTGATGGGGACATTCCTGTGATGGGAATGCCCCTCACCCTGTCCCCATGGGGTCCCTGCCCCTCGAAGGGGGGTCTGTCCCTGTGTGACCCCGGCCCTGATGGGGACATTCCTGTGATGGGAATGCCCCTCACCCTGTCCCCATGGGGTCCCTGCCCCTCGAAGGGGGGTCTGTCCCTGTGTGACCCCGGCCCTGATGGGGACATTCCTGTGATGGGAATGCCCCTCACCCTGTCCCCATGGGGTCCCTGCCCCTCGAAGGGGGGTCTGTCCCTGTGTGACCCCGGCCCTGATGGGGACATTCCTGTGATGGGAATGCCCCTCACCCTGTCCCCATGGGGTCCCTGCCCCTCGAAGGGGGGTCTGTCCCTGTGTGACCCCGGCCCTGATGGGGACATTCCTGTGATGGGAATGCCCCTCACCCTGTCCCCATGGGGTCCCTGCCCCTCGAAGGGGGGTCTGTCCCTGTGTGACCCCGGCCCTGATGGGGACATTCCTGTGATGGGAATGCCCCTCACCCTGTCCCCATGGGGTCCCTGCCCCTCGAAGGGGGGTCTGTCCCTGTGTGACCCCGGCCCTGATGGGGACATTCCTGTGATGGGAATGCCCCTCACCCTGTCCCCATGGGGTCCCTGCCCCTCGAAGGGGGGTCTGTCCCTGTGTGACCCCGGCCCTGATGGGGACATTCCTGTGATGGGAATGCCCCTCACCCTGTCCCCATGGGGTCCCTGCCCCTCGAAGGGGGGTCTGTCCCTGTGTGACCCCGGCCCTGATGGGGACATTCCTGTGATGGGAATGCCCCTCACCCTGTCCCCATGGGGTCCCTGCCCCTCGAAGGGGGGTCTGTCCCTGTGTGACCCCGGCCCTGATGGGGACATTCCTGTGATGGGAATGCCCCTCACCCTGTCCCCATGGGGTCCCTGCCCCTCGAAGGGGGGTCTGTCCCTGTGTGACCCCGGCCCTGATGGGGACATTCCTGTGATGGGAATGCCCCTCACCCTGTCCCCATGGGGTCCCTGCCCCTCGAAGGGGGGTCTGTCCCTGTGTGACCCCGGCCCTGATGGGGACATTCCTGTGATGGGAATGCCCCTCACCCTGTCCCCATGGGGTCCCTGCCCCTCGAAGGGGGGTCTGTCCCTGTGTGACCCCGGCCCTGATGGGGACATTCCTGTGATGGGAATGCCCCTCACCCTGTCCCCATGGGGTCCCTGCCCCTCGAAGGGGGGTCTGTCCCTGTGTGACCCCGGCCCTGATGGGGACATTCCTGTGATGGGAATGCCCCTCACCCTGTCCCCATGGGGTCCCTGCCCCTCGAAGGGGGGTCTGTCCCTGTGTGACCCCGGCCCTGATGGGGACATTCCTGTGATGGGAATGCCCCTCACCCTGTCCCCATGGGGTCCCTGCCCCTCGAAGGGGGGTCTGTCCCTGTGTGACCCCGGCCCTGATGGGGACATTCCTGTGATGGGAATGCCCCTCACCCTGTCCCCATGGGGTCCCTGCCCCTCGAAGGGGGGTCTGTCCCTGTGTGACCCCGGCCCTGATGGGGACATTCCTGTGATGGGAATGCCCCTCACCCTGTCCCCATGGGGTCCCTGCCCCTCGAAGGGGGGTCTGTCCCTGTGTGACCCCGGCCCTGATGGGGACATTCCTGTGATGGGAATGCCCCTCACCCTGTCCCCATGGGGTCCCTGCCCCTCGAAGGGGGGTCTGTCCCTGTGTGACCCCGGCCCTGATGGGGACATTCCTGTGATGGGAATGCCCCTCACCCTGTCCCCATGGGGTCCCTGCCCCTCGAAGGGGGGTCTGTCCCTGTGTGACCCCGGCCCTGATGGGGACATTCCTGTGATGGGAATGCCCCTCACCCTGTCCCCATGGGGTCCCTGCCCCTCGAAGGGGGGTCTGTCCCTGTGTGACCCCGGCCCTGATGGGGACATTCCTGTGATGGGAATGCCCCTCACCCTGTCCCCATGGGGTCCCTGCCCCTCGAAGGGGGGTCTGTCCCTGTGTGACCCCGGCCCTGATGGGGACATTCCTGTGATGGGAATGCCCCTCACCCTGTCCCCATGGGGTCCCTGCCCCTCGAAGGGGGGTCTGTCCCTGTGTGACCCCGGCCCTGATGGGGACATTCCTGTGATGGGAATGCCCCTCACCCTGTCCCCATGGGGTCCCTGCCCCTCGAAGGGGGGTCTGTCCCTGTGTGACCCCGGCCCTGATGGGGACATTCCTGTGATGGGAATGCCCCTCACCCTGTCCCCATGGGGTCCCTGCCCCTCGAAGGGGGGTCTGTCCCTGTGTGACCCCGGCCCTGATGGGGACATTCCTGTGATGGGAATGCCCCTCACCCTGTCCCCATGGGGTCCCTGCCCCTCGAAGGGGGGTCTGTCCCTGTGTGACCCCGGCCCTGATGGGGACATTCCTGTGATGGGAATGCCCCTCACCCTGTCCCCATGGGGTCCCTGCCCCTCGAAGGGGGGTCTGTCCCTGTGTGACCCCGGCCCTGATGGGGACATTCCTGTGATGGGAATGCCCCTCACCCTGTCCCCATGGGGTCCCTGCCCCTCGAAGGGGGGTCTGTCCCTGTGTGACCCCGGCCCTGATGGGGACATTCCTGTGATGGGAATGCCCCTCACCCTGTCCCCATGGGGTCCCTGCCCCTCGAAGGGGGGTCTGTCCCTGTGTGACCCCGGCCCTGATGGGGACATTCCTGTGATGGGAATGCCCCTCACCCTGTCCCCATGGGGTCCCTGCCCCTCGAAGGGGGGTCTGTCCCTGTGTGACCCCGGCCCTGATGGGGACATTCCTGTGATGGGAATGCCCCTCACCCTGTCCCCATGGGGTCCCTGCCCCTCGAAGGGGGGTCTGTCCCTGTGTGACCCCGGCCCTGATGGGGACATTCCTGTGATGGGAATGCCCCTCACCCTGTCCCCATGGGGTCCCTGCCCCTCGAAGGGGGGTCTGTCCCTGTGTGACCCCGGCCCTGATGGGGACATTCCTGTGATGGGAATGCCCCTCACCCTGTCCCCATGGGGTCCCTGCCCCTCGAAGGGGGGTCTGTCCCTGTGTGACCCCGGCCCTGATGGGGACATTCCTGTGATGGGAATGCCCCTCACCCTGTCCCCATGGGGTCCCTGCCCCTCGAAGGGGGGTCTGTCCCTGTGTGACCCCGGCCCTGATGGGGACATTCCTGTGATGGGAATGCCCCTCACCCTGTCCCCATGGGGTCCCTGCCCCTCGAAGGGGGGTCTGTCCCTGTGTGACCCCGGCCCTGATGGGGACATTCCTGTGATGGGAATGCCCCTCACCCTGTCCCCATGGGGTCCCTGCCCCTCGAAGGGGGGTCTGTCCCTGTGTGACCCCGGCCCTGATGGGGACATTCCTGTGATGGGAATGCCCCTCACCCTGTCCCCATGGGGTCCCTGCCCCTCGAAGGGGGGTCTGTCCCTGTGTGACCCCGGCCCTGATGGGGACATTCCTGTGATGGGAATGTCCCTCACCCTGTCCCCACGGGGTCCCTGCCCCTCACAGGAGGGTCTGTCCCTGTGTGATGGGGACATTCCCGTGGTGGGGCAGGGATGTCCCTCACTGTGTCCCCATGAGCTCCGTGCCCCTCACATGGTCCCTGTCCCTGTGTGACCCCGGTCTTGATGGGGGTCCCTGTCCTTGTGTGATGGGGACATTCCCGTGGTGGGGCAGGGATGTCCCTGTCCCCATGAGCTCCGTGCCCCTCACACGGTCCCTGTGTGATCCATGGACCTGATGGGGCAGAAATGTCCCTCACCGTGTCCCCATGGGGTCCCTGCCCCTCACAGGGGTGGTCTATGTCCCTGTGTGACCCACGGCCCTGATGTCCCTCACTGTGTCCCCATGGGCTCTGTGCCCCTCACAGAATTCCTGTCCCTGTGTGACCCCGGCCCTGATGGGGGTCCCTGTCCCCATGGGCTGTCCCCTGTGCACTGTCCCCTGTCCCCCGTGTGCTGTCCCCTGTCCCCATGGGCTGTCCCCTGTCCTTCATGGGCTCTTGTCCCTCCCTGTCCCCCGTGCGCTGTCCCCTGTCCCTCCCTGACCCCCGTGCGCTGTCCCCTGTCCCCCATGCGCTGTCCCCTGTCCCTCCCTGTCCCCCGTGCGCTGTCCCCCGCCCCTCGGTGAGGGTCCCGTGTCCCGCCCGAGGCCGTGCTCGGGGCCAGCGCTGGCTCCCCGCTCCTCCGCGTTCTTCGGCTCGCTGGAGGCCGCCGTGGCGGGGCTGCAGCAGCGGGCGCGGGGCGCGCTCGGCCGCATCAACCGCGACCGCGAGGAAGCGCACACGGAGCTGAGCGGCGTCAGGGACGGCCTGCTGCTCAAGGTAGGCTCGCAGCGGCCCGCCGCGTCCCCTCCCTTCCCCCCGGGGCCGCGGGCAATCGCGTTATTCCGCCCGGTTTGCCGGGACACCGGAGGCAGAGCCCGGCCGCGGAGGCAGCTGCGGAGCCCGGCCGGGGGGAGCCCCCCGAGCCCCCGCGGGGGCGGCCGCAGCTGCCTCCGGCCCCGCTTCCAGCGGCCCCCGATGTCCCCCGCGGTGTCCCCCCCTTGTCCCCACGCTGCCCTCGCGCCGGACTTCGCTCCCGCCGGGGGGGCTCGGCCGGGGGGGTCCCCGGGCTCCCGCGCAGATGGCGGCCCGGGCCAGCGCGGGCGGGCGCAGCTGCCCCCCGGCCCCGGGGACGGCGGCCGTGCCAGCGCCGGGACGAGCCGCGGCCCCGCTCGGGCAGGTCTCGGAGCTGGCGGAGCAGCTGGAGGAGCGGCTCTTCCACCGCTACGGCTTCCACAACGGGCTGATCCAGGAGCGGCTGCAGGCGATCAGCGAGGTGTTGGAGCGCGTGGAGGAGGCGCAGGCGGAGCTGCGCCACATCTGCTGCAACGTGGAGGCGGCTTATCAGGACCTCTGCCTGCAGCCCGAGGCCTGAGGGCACCCCCAGACCCTCAGCGGGACCCCCCAAAGCCGCGGGACCCCCCAAAGCCGCGGCACCGCGGGGCTGTGCCGGGCCAAAGGGGGATTTTGGCCCCGAAGGGCTTTTCTGTTGCTGTTGGTGGTTGGAACAAATAAAGGGATGAAGCTGACCCAAAAGCTGGATGGGGGGGGGCTGGGCTGGGCTCTGACCCCCCCCCACCGAGGGCAGAGCTGGGTCCTGGCAGGTTAATTAATGCTGACGAGCAGGGCTGGCATGGAGGGGCTGTCCCACCGTTTATTGGCCACGGGGGTGGCGAAGGCACCGGGATGGCACCGGACACGGCGCCAGCACCAGTGGGGTCCCCGGAGTGTCACCGAGTCCTGTCGGTGACACCGAGTCCCGTCGGTGACAGGAGGTTTGGTCGGTGGCACTGGGTCCCATCAACGACACACGACGTGCTTGGTGACACCGGGTCCCGCCAGCGACACGAGGTTTGGCTGGGGTGGCACCGAGTCCCCTTGGTGACGTGAGGCCTGGCTGGTGACACCGGGTCCCGTCAGTGACACCGGCTCCTGTCAGTGACACTTCTGGGGATGCCCGGCTCTGGTTGGTGACGCTGGCTCCGGTCAGTGCCACATCTCCTCACATCCCTTCCCACGAGGAGCAGAGCCGGTCCCCACCGGTGCCACCGCGTCCCCTCTACGTCCCCTTTGCCGGGGCAAAGGCCTGGATGCCGGTGATGGCGCGGCCCAGGATCAGCGCGTGGATGTCGTGGGTGCCTGCGGGGGTCACCGCGCTCAGCAAAACCCCCCGAGCCCCTCGGGGCCCCCCCGTGCCCCTCCCCGCCGTACCCTCGTAGGTGTTGACGGCCTCGAGGTTCATGAGGTGCCGGATGACGTGGAACTCGTCGCAGATCCCGTTGCCCCCCAGCATGTCCCGCGCGTCCCTCGCGATGCTCAGCGCCTTCCCGCACGAGTTCCGCTTCAGCATCGACACCATCTCGGGGGCGGCCCTGCGGGGGCACGGGCAGGGACACGCTGACCCCCTCCGGGACCCCCCCGGGCCCCCCCCGGGGACGGTGCCACCCACCTGCCCTCGTCCTTGAGGCGGCCGAGCCGCAGGCAGGCGTGGAGCCCCAGCGTGATCTCCGTCACCATGTCCGCCAGCTTCTTCTGCACCAGCTGGTTGCGGGCCAGCGGGCCCCCAAACTGCTTCCTGCGGGCCAGGGCAGGGGGGCGCTGAGGTTTGGGGGGGTGGGGGGCGGTGGGACCCCCCCCCGAAGCGCCCCCAGCCCCCCGTTACCTGTCGAGCACGTATTGCCGCACCGTCTCCAGGCAGGCCTCGGCGGCGCCCAGCGCGCCCCAGGCGATGCCGTAACGCGCCTGGGTCAGGCAGCCGAAGGGACCCTGGGGGACAGGGGGTGTCACCGGGACCCCCAGTCCCACCAGGACCCCCCCTCTCACCAGGACCCTGCCCTGGCTCCCCCCTCACCGCCAGCCCCTCGGCGTTGGGCAGCACGTTCTCCTCGGGCACCTCCACGTCGTCCAGCAGGATCATCCCGGTGGTCGAGGCCCGCAGGGAGAACTTGCCCTCGATTTTGGGGGTGCTCAGCCCGGGGGTCCCGCGCTCCACCAGGAAGCCCCGGACCCGCCCGTCCTCCTCGCAGCGAGCCCACACCACGCACAGGTCGGCTATGGGCGAGTTGGTGATCCTGGGGGGTTTGGGGAGGCTCAGGGGGGAGCTCTGGGGGGTCCCCCACGTCCCCCTCACCCCAGTGCCGAGGCTCACCAGGTCTTGGAGCCGCGCAGGGTGTAGGTGCCGGCGCTGGGGTTGTGCCGTGCCCGCGTCTCCATCCGCCCCGGGTCGCTCCCGTGGTTGGGCTCCGTCAGCCCGAAGCACCCCACGATCTCCCCCCGAGCTGGGGAGGGGGCGTCAGGGGCACGCCGGGGACACCCCAACCACCCCAGCGCCCCCCTTGTGCCCCCCACTCCTCCTCCAAACCCCCCAAAGCCCCTCTGCCCCCTCACCCAGCACCCCCGAGCCTCCCACACCCCCCAAGGCCCCTCTGCCCCCCCACCCCCTCCCCACAGCGGGGGTCTCACCGAGGCGGGGCAGGAAGCGCTCGCGCTGGGCGGGGGTCCCGTAGGCCCACAGGGGGTACATGACCAGGGAGGACTGCACGCTGAGCACCGAGCGGTAGCTGCTGTCCACCCGCTCCAGCTCCCGCGTCACCAGCCCGTAGCCCACCGACGTGGTGCCCGCACAGCCGTACCCTGCGGTGACCCCGGGGTCACAGCGGTCACTCGGGGACCCCCGGGGTCACAGGGGTCACTCGGGGACCCCCGGGGTCACAGGGGTCACTCAGAGACCGCCGGGATCATAGCGGTCACTCGGGGACCCCCCAAAGTCACAGTGGTCACTCAGAGACCTCGGGGATCACAGCACTCACTCAGGGACCCCCAGGATCACTCCGGTCACTCAGGGACCCCCCCCAAGGTCACTCCAGTCACTCGGGGACCCCCGGGGTCACAGGGGTCACTCAGAGACCCCGGGGATCACAGCACTCACTCAGGGACCCCCAGGATCACTCCGGTCACTCAGGGACCCCCGGGGTCACAGGAGTCACTCAGGGACCCCCAGGATCACAGCGGTCACTCAGGGACCCCCCAAAGTCACAGCGGTCACTCAGAGACCCCCAGGATCACAGTGGTCACTTGGGGACCCTCCCCAAGGTCACTTCGGTCACTCAGGGACCCCCCAAAGTCACAGCGGTCACTCAGGGACCGCCGGGATCACAGCGGTCACTCAGGGACCCCCCCCAAGGTCACTCCAGTCACTCAGGGACCCCCCAAAGTCACAGCGGTCACTCAGAGACCCCCAGGATCACAGTGGTCACTCGGGGACCCTCCCCAAGGTCACAGTGGTCACTCAGAGACCCCCCAGGATCACAGTGGTCACTCGGGGACCCTCCCCAAGGTCACAGTGGTCACTCAGGGACCCCTGGGGTCACAGGGGTCACTCAGGGACCCCCGGCGTCTCCTCAGTGACCCCAGTGTCACACCGGACCCTCCCCTGTCCCACAGCCCCACCCTGGGGACAGCCCCATCCCTCAGAACCCCCAGTATCCCCCCAAAACTGCCCCCCAGAGCCCCCCGAGCCACCCTCCAGAGCCCCCAAACCCCATCCCTGACCCCCAAAGCCCCCCCCACCTCTGAGCCCCCCAAACCATCTCGGGGGCGGCCCTGCGGGGGCACGGGCAGGGACACGCTGACCCCCTCCGGGACCCCCCCGGGCCCCCCCCGGGGACGGTGCCACCCACCTGCCCTCGTCCTTGAGGCGGCCGAGCCGCAGGCAGGCGTGGAGCCCCAGCGTGATCTCCGTCACCATGTCCGCCAGCTTCTTCTGCACCAGCTGGTTGCGGGCCAGCGGGCCCCCAAACTGCTTCCTGCGGGCCAGGGCAGGGGGGCGCTGAGGTTTGGGGGGGTGGGGGGCGGTGGGACCCCCCCCCGAAGCGCCCCCAGCCCCCCGTTACCTGTCGAGCACGTATTGCCGCACCGTCTCCAGGCAGGCCTCGGCGGCGCCCAGCGCGCCCCAGGCGATGCCGTAACGCGCCTGGGTCAGGCAGCCGAAGGGACCCTGGGGGACAGGGGGTGTCACCGGGACCCCCAGTCCCACCGGGACCCCCCCTCTCGCCAGGACCCTGCCCTGGCTCCCCCCTCACCGCCAGCCCCTCGGCGTTGGGCAGCACGTTCTCCTCGGGCACCTCCACGTCGTCCAGCAGGATCATCCCGGTGGTCGAGGCCCGCAGGGAGAACTTGCCCTCGATTTTGGGGGTGCTCAGCCCGGGGGTCCCGCGCTCCACCAGGAAGCCCCGGACCCGCCCGTCCTCCTCGCAGCGAGCCCACACCACGCACAGGTCGGCTATGGGCGAGTTGGTGATCCTGGGGGGTTTGGGGAGGCTCAGGGGGGAGCTCTGGGGGGTCCCCCACGTCCCCCTCACCCCAGTGCCGAGGCTCACCAGGTCTTGGAGCCGCGCAGGGTGTAGGTGCCGGCGCTGGGGTTGTGCCGTGCCCGCGTCTCCATCCGCCCCGGGTCGCTCCCGTGGTTGGGCTCCGTCAGCCCGAAGCACCCCACGATCTCCCCCCGAGCTGGGGAGGGGGCGTCAGGGGCACGCCGGGGACACCCCAACCACCCCAGCGCCCCCCTTGTGCCCCCCACTCCTCCTCCAAACCCCCCAAAGCCCCTCTGCCCCCTCACCCAGCACCCCCGAGCCTCCCACACCCCCCAAGGCCCCTCTGCCCCCCCACCCCCTCCCCACAGCGGGGGTCTCACCGAGGCGGGGCAGGAAGCGCTCGCGCTGGGCGGGGGTCCCGTAGGCCCACAGGGGGTACATGACCAGGGAGGACTGCACGCTGAGCACCGAGCGGTAGCTGCTGTCCACCCGCTCCAGCTCCCGCGTCACCAGCCCGTAGCCCACCGACGTGGTGCCCGCACAGCCGTACCCTGCGGTGACCCCGGGGTCACAGCGGTCACTCGGGGACCCCCGGGGTCACA